AGGGAAGGGAAGAAGGAAGGGAAGGGGAAGGAAAGGAAAGGAAAGGAAAGGAAAGGAAAGGAAAGGAAAGGAAAGGAAAGGAAAGGAAAGGAAAGGAAAGGAAAGGAAAAAAGATCACTACATGCAGCTCACACCTAGGGTCCGGGGCGTGGTGCTGCCCTGCTCAGGTTCCACCTTGATTTGAGCTCTATCCTCAGAGTGGCCTGGGCATTGTGTTTCTAGAATAGTGTCCCCTGAATTTTTATGTCCTTCAATTGCTGACATTCTTTTTACACAGTGTCTCCTCCTTCAGCCCCTGACATGGCTCCTCAGACTGTCCGGACACCATTCCTCCCATGAAAGGTGATGATAGGAACTGGGTCACTTTTGCCATAGCCAGCTGAGACAGAGTCAAGAAGCCCAGGCGGGGGCTGGGAGGAGCACTCAGGGCACAAAAAAAAAAAAAAATACGAATCCACCTAACTGCCCATCAATAGGGATGATGAAAAAGTAAATTGCACGTATATACACGATGGAATACAATACTTCAGTCAAAAAAATAAAATAAGTCCCTGTTCATTTGTGTCAACGTTGAATAACCTGGAGGACATTTTATATTAGTGAAATAGGCCCAGGGCAGCAGAAAGACAAATACCACATGATCTCATTCCACAACCAAGAATCTACAAAAGTTGAATTGTAGAAAAGAGAAAGGAGGCCAGGCGCGGTGTCCACATTCTGTAATCCCCAGCCACCTGGAGGCCAGGCGGCGCGATTTGCTTTGAGGTCAGGAGTTCGAACCAGGGGCTAAGCAAGAGCGAGACCCCGTCTCCACTATAAACTAGAAAAGATTTATAGGCCAACTGATATATATTAGAAAAAATTAGGCGGGCATGGTGGGCGCATGCCCTGTTGTTCCCAGCACTCGGGAATGCTTGAGGCAAGGAGGATCGCTTGAAGCCCCAGGAGTTTGAGGTTTTGGCTGTTGGAGCTAGGGCTGTACGGCCAAGGCACCTCCACTTCTAGAGCCCGGGGGCACAGAGGGAATTCTGTTCTCAAAAAAAGAAAAAAAAGAAGAAGGAGAATGGCGGTCACAGGGGGCTGGTGGAGTGCGGGAATGGGGAGATGGTGGGCAAAGGGTATAAAATTTCAGTTAGATGGGAGGAATAAGGTCAAGAGCTCTATTGTACAACATGATGAGTATAGTTATTATAATTTAACGATGTATGTATTAATCCCAAAATTACTAAGAGGAGACTTCAATTGTTCTCACCACAAAAAAAAAATGTGTGTGAGGTAATGCACATGTTAATTAGGCTTCAATTAGCCATCCACATTGTTATATATACTTTCACAAAGTATTCATGGTTACCATGGAAAAATATATAGGACTTTGTTGTCCATTTAAAAAATAGATAAAAAAGGGGCGGGGGTGGTGGCTCAGGGCCTGTAATCCTACCCACTCTGGGCAGGCCGAAGGTGGGGTCACCTCAAGGGTCAGGAGTTGCAAAGACCAGACCTTGGAGGCAAGAGTGAACCCCATCTCTTACTAAAAATAGGAAGAAATATTACTGGACCACTAAAATATTAATACGAAAAAGTGTGCCGGGCATGTGGCGCATGCTGTAGTCCCCAGGCTCTTCGGAGGAGCTAGAGGCGGAGGATCGCTGAGCCCAGAGTTTTGAGTTGGCTGTGGCTAGGCTGACCCATGGCATTTCAAGCCCGGACCAACCAAGAAGTGAGACTCGGACTCAGAAAAAAAAAAAAAGAGAGAGAGAGATGCACAGAAGATCAATTGAGAAAATAATATAAATAATAAATTAAAAATAAAAAAAAAAAGAGAGAGAGAGAGAGAAAACAAAAACTAAAACTAAAAAATGGTGAAATTTGACCGTTTAACCAAGCGACTGGCGCCGAGGGCAAGGAGAAGAGTGTGTCCTTGGGGAAGGAGTATATGGGGGGGCAAAAACGGGTTGGAGGACAGAGGGAAGGGGAAGGGGGCGAGGCAGGGAGGAGGAAAGTATGGACAGGCAGAGGAGGAAAAGGAGGACGGAAGGGGAGGAGAAAGGGGGGCGGCTGTGAGAAGAGGCCAGGGATGAGTGGGGCCCGCAGGGGAAGAGCAAGAGGGCACGCAGTGTCATCAGGGGCGTGGGAAGCGGGGTGAAAAGGGAGGGCAAGAAGCTGTCGCTGCTGCAGGAGGGGCAGGTG